CACCACCATCACCACCACCATCATCACCACCATCACCACCACCACGACCACCATCACCACCATCACCACCATCACCACCACCACCACCACCACCACCACCATCACCATCATTACCACCACCATTACCACCATCACCATCACCACCATCACACTGCCCTTTAGTTTTTATTCTCCCTTTTGCATGTCATTTTCTTTGGGAATTCCTTTTTGTTTTCCCAAGACTGGGTGAATGCACCTCTGTGTGCCCAGACTGTAACCAAAAAGGCCTGTTTATTGTTCTGCCATAATTGTGTGTTCTCATGTCCGATTCCCCTGCTGATGGCACGCTCTTGACGGTGGGGACGTTGTCCTTCATGCCACTGTGGCCCCAGGACCTTCCTCGTGATGGGGCTCAGTTAGGTTTTCAGAATGAATGAATGTGTGCGCGAACGGTTGACGTTGTCACAGTGTGGCGCAGGCTGTGACAATGACACGAGCGTGGTTGCAGGTGTGTGGCGCGGCTAACGCATGCGTTCTGTTGCAGTCCTCGGATGTCTGTGAGCAGATCCTGAGGGTGGTGAGCAGGTCCGGGCGGCTGGAGGAGTTGGTGTTGGAAAACGCTGGACTGAGAACGTGAGTATTTCCCTGCACATGGGACTCTGTGGCTTTAGAACGTCTTGTCATTTCCTCTAAAGATAAGATACAGTTAAGACGAAAAGGTGGGCTCCTCACATAGAGAACATCCTGTTTCCCTTCTTCAAAAAGCTCCCAGAATCCCTAACATCGGCACCGAGGCCACGGATTTCATAACCTCACTTGCCGTGACCAAAAAGGCCTGTTTATTGTTCTGCCATAATTGTGTGTTCTCTTGTCCGATTCCCCTGCTGATGGCACGCTCTTGACGGTGGGGACTTTGTCCTTTATGCCACTGTCTCCCCAGGACCTTCCTCGTAATGGGGCTCAGTTAGGTTTTCAGAATGAACGAATGTGTGTGCGAACGGTTGACGTCATCACAGTGTGGCGCAGGCTGTGACAGTGACACGAGCGTGGTTGCAGGTGTGCGGCGCGGCTAACGCGTGCGTTCTGTTGCAGTCCTCCGATGTCTGTGAGCAGATCCTGAGGGTGGTGAGCAGGTCCGGGCGGCTGGAGGAGTTGGTGTTGGAAAACGCTGGACTGAGAACGTGAGTATTTCCCTGCACATGGGACTCTGTGGCTTTAGAACGTCTTGTCATTTCCTCTAAAGTTAAGATACAGTTAAGACGAAAAGGTGGGCTCCTCACATAGAGAACATCCTGTTTCCCTTCTTCAAAAAGCTCCCAGAATCCCTAACATCGGCACCGAGGCCACGGATTTCATAACCTCACTTGCCGTTGTGTCATGGGGCGTGTTTGGTGGTGCCTGGTGTGTGGGCCCTTGAGCCAGACACCTTGCGGCCTTGGGCAGTTAGTTTGGACTCTCTGTGCCTCAGTCTCTGCGTCTTTGAAATGGACTTAATATTAGCACCTTCCTTACAAAATTACAGCTCAGGGTCAATGAGGTAGTTTATGGAAAGTGCTGAGGAAGCATCTCCCATGTTCTGGGTGCCGGTAGTGATCCGTGTCACTGACGGTAGTTGTAGTGACAGCCTATTGCACGTTATTTTACCACTTTGCTTTGATCTGTTTGGCCATTGGCCTCCCTTTTCCGATTCACACTTACCTCGCCTGCACCTCGTGGTTCCGACATCCAGACCCAAGCCTGTGTGGGGCGTGTGGAGCTGGAATCTGCTAGAACAAGGACTCTACTGCTAAGTGGGGAGGGGTGGCAGTTTCATAACCACAGCCCTCAGTGCGTTATTTTAAGTGAAACACATCTAAAATAGCGATTTTAATTTTCATTAGAATATGGTGCTGGCAATTGCAGCCTTTAAACTCCACAATTCGAGCAGCTGGGTCTGCATTTGTGGGTGCTGCTCCACGTTATGGAGGGGCCGACGCATACTGTCAGCAGCGTCCTGAAAGTGTCCATTTTTTACACGTACACCAGAGGCCCGGCGATCAGGGCCGAGCGGGGCCTTCCGGCTGCCGGCGGGGCCTTCCTTCATTCCGCGCTGCCCCTGGTGGTCAGCGCACATCTTAGTGAGCAATCAGACTCCCGAGGGGACACTGCGTATTAGCCTTTTATACATATAGAAGATACTTTTATTGATTTCAGAAAGGAAGGAAGAGGATAGAAAGACAGAAACATCAATGATGAGAGAATCATTGACCCAGCACGCCCCACACTGGGGATTGAGCCCACAACCCGGCCATGTGCCCTGACCGGGAATCAAACTGTGACCTCCTGGTCCCTAGGTTGATGCTTCACCACTGACCCACACCGGCCAGGCCTGCGATTTGTCTTTAATGGGGCAATGACAAGATTTTCTCTCTGCTTCGGAGTGAGGCGTTGGCCATCGGAATGAACCATGTTTGGGTGTGACTGCGGATTCTCTGATGAGGATTCATACCCTCATGTGGGGAATGGATTGGGTGCTAAGAAATATGCGACACCCAGAACCCGCTGGGAAGAAAGCGTCTCTGTCGCTTTGCCTCCACCTGTTCCTCCAGCTGTTCCAGCTGTGAGGGTGTGAGCCGTTCTGCACCTCGTGGTCCTTCCTCTCACTGTTGTGTTTGTCTGCAGAGATTTTGCACAGAAACTGGCCAGTGCGCTCGCACATAACCCGGGCTCAGGACTGCACACCATCAACCTCTCTGGCAACGCGCTGGAGGACCGAGGTACCCGGAGTCTCGGACCCGCGCTGCCGGCCGTGAGCGGGCGGGGAGGTCACTGCAGCCAGGCCCGGGGAGTGGGGAGCAGACCGGCTGAGCTGTGATTACGGTCTTTTTTTCTTTTTTTAAAGTATATTTTTGTTGATTTCAGAGAGGAAGGGAGAGGGAGAGAGCAATAGGAACATCAGTGAGGAGAGAGGATCATTGTTCAGCTGCCTCCTGCACGCCCCACACTGGGGATCGAGCCGGGGACCCGGGCCTGTGCCCTGACCAGGAATCAGACCCGGGCCTCTTGGTTTATAGGTCGATGCTCAATCCCTGAGCCGCGCCGGCCGGGCTGTGTTACGCTCTAAGGGCTGCTTGTGCTCTCGCCGGCTCCTGGCTCTCACACCCGTTGGTGGGAATGCTCACTGTTGGCCGCCCCTGAGCGGGTGGCTGGGAATCCACAGCACATCCAACGGAGTGGAAAATACTTATAGAAATCTCCATCGAGGGGAGCGTTGCTAAGGATTTATTGAAGAACTCAGAAGCAGATTTGCACAAACATGAAAATTCTCATAATCCCCTTTTCTTCTTTCCTTTCTCAGGTGTGTCCTCTTTAAGTGTTCAATTTGCCAAACTCCCAAAGGGATTAAAACATTTAAATTTATCTAAAACCTCATTGTCACCTAAAGGTACTGTATATCTTATTCACTTTATGTCTGTGATGTTCTCTACCTTAAATAGTTAGAATCATTGCTCAGTCCTATGTCTGCATTTAAATATACGTGTTACCGCCTGGCAGGGGCTCGGTTGGAGCGCGTCCCGTACACCACAGGTTGCGGGTTCAGTTCCCAGTCAGGGCACATATACCTAGGTTTTGGGTACAGTCCCTGGTTGGGGCACATATGGGAGGCAACCAATCCACATTTCTCTCTCTCCCCTTCCTTCCTCGCTCTCTAAAAATCAATGAAAACATATCCGCGGGTGAGGATTAAAAGACTAATAAAGTAAAATACAGGGTGTCCCCCGAGATGTGTACACACTGTGACTAATTACAGAGGCAGTGTTTGTGGCAGACATCGCCTTTCACAGTGCAGGGGACCAGGTGTTGATGTGCGTGTGCACTTTTCCAGCTTCCCTTTTGTTCCTGAGTGACTCGGACCACTTCTCCAGCGCTCAGCACGGCTGCCGTATCAGCAGCAACCTCCCTGCTTACATATTTTTAAAGATAGTTTTTTATTGATTTCAGAGAGGAAGGGAGAGGGAGAGAGGGATAGAAACATCAGCGATCAGAGAGAATCATCCATCAGCTGCCTCCTGCACGTCCCCTTCTGGTGATCGAGCCCACAACCCCGGCCTGTGCCCTGAGCAGGAATCGAACCGTGACCTCCTGGTTCATAGGTAGACGCTCAACCACTGAGTCACGCCGGCTGGACAAAACAGTTTTTAAAAGCGTTCCTTGTTCTTGCAGCTTCAGAATAACTCGGATGAAGCGGTCCTTGTAAGCTTTTTGTGCAATTTGCCCGGCATTTGTATTTCAGTTCCGGGAAAGATGGATAGTCATAGCCCCTAATTCAAGAGAGATTGTTTCTTCACCTCCCCATGCCGCCCCTCTGAAGTTGGCGGGAGGACGGTTCGCAGGCTCCTGGGCCTGTCCTGCCGGCTGCCAGGCCTGGGCGTGGGCCATCTGCCGCCCTCGCTCCAGCTGCAAAGCCTCCAGCGCTAACTCACAGGAGCGCCCGGCCCATAGGGTGCCCCATGCAGCGCGGCGATCTGCGCTCAGTGGGGCTGGGAGCGGGTCTGGCTCCTCCATCCTGTGTTTTTGGATTTCCTGCTGCTCCTGTGCCCATGAGCCCCGCCTCCCGTGGAGGGGCCTCAGGAGGGGGCGGGGGAGCCTTGTCCCGGCCACGGCATGACACTGGGCGCGAGGCTCCCGGAGTCGGGGCAGATGTTGGCCGCCCGCCAAGTGCCGGCGCCTGCCAAGGGGGTGTTGTGCTGTGGAGACCAATCCGACCTGTTCCTTTTTGGAATTTATTTGTTAAGGTTGTCAGACCTCACTGAGGACATGGTTTTGCATGATTTTCTTGATGAGAGTCTGGTGTTCTCTGTATGTTTAGGACTCAGTTGTTCCGTTACGGAACATATATGAACAGTCCCAGCAACAGGGCGGCTGCAGGAGGCTGGCCATTCACACAGGCATGGGAACCTTCTGTCTGCCAGGGGCCATGTGGATATTTATCACATCATTCTCAGGCCACACAAAACTATCAACTTAAAAATGAGCCTGCCATACTTGGTCAAACATTGAATTAACTCACCCCTCATGCCTTGGCAGGGCCAGACCAAATGGTTCTGCAGGCCTTACACGGCCCATGGCCTAGATGTTCCCACCCCTGCTCTATATCACTGTGGCAGCAGCCGGCTCCCCTCCTGATCACAGAATGGCTGCAGAAGCCCCAGAAATCAAGCCACGCCAGCCAGGCCCATTTGGATATTTATAACATCATTTGTGGGCCATACAAAATGATCAACTTAAAAATTACCTGCTCTGTTTGGTCAAATTATTTAATTAACTCACCCCTGTTGCCTGGGCAGAGCCAGGCCAAATGATTTCTCGTGACTTCTACGGCCCTTGGGCCGGACGTTCCCCACCCGTTTAAACATCGCAGGTGTTGCCTCCAGACAGCGAGCGAGCTCTGGCCTTTGCAGGTTCCTGATCTGACAGACGAGTCAGATCCGCGCCTCTCAGGGCAGCCTCTTGTCTGGCATCGCTGCTCTCACTGCTCTCACTGCCTCTCGCTGGCCCGGCTGCGGGAGGCTGACAAGTCGGGCCGGACGTTCCCCACCCATTTAAACATCGCAGGTGTTGCCTCCAGACAGCGAGCTCTCTCTCGGCCTTTGCAGGTTCCTGATCTGACAGACTAGTCAGATCCGCGCCTCTCAGGGCCAGCCTCTCGTCTGGCATCGCTGCCTCTCGCTGGCCCGGCTGCGGGAGGCTGACAAGTGGCCGGGGTCCCAGAGCCCATGCTGTCCTAGGGGTGGGGGGTGCTGTCCTTCAGGATCTGAGGGTCTGTCACAGTGAACCCTCAAGCAGCTCTGACCTCCTCCTGGACTTGAGCTTCCGGGACTGTCTGGGCACCGGATGGGCTGTTACATGACCCGACCCCAACTCGTATAAACATTTCGTGCGCACTTCATGAGTGTGGGGCGGATGGCCGCGACGTTCCTCCCCGAACTTCAGTGAAGTATTCCTCTGCTCCCGTCTCCTCTGCGCGCCCAAGAGCGGACTCGCTGAGCAGTGGCTGCGGGACTTTACCGACACACCCCGGAGTCGCTTGCTTGTAACTCTCAGCTCTTCTCCCCGAGCGAGCGGAGCGAGCGTCTCCGGGCTCCGGCGGGCCTGGCCCTGCCCTTGTCGTGGCCGAGGCAAAGGATAAAGCCCCCTTTCGTTTCTCTTCAGGGGCAGCCTGGGATAGTCAGGAATTTACTGCAGAATTAGAAACAACATTATCTGTAAAAGTATATTCCATTTAGCCCAGCAGGCGTGGCTCAGTGGTTGGGCGTCGACCTATGAACCACGAGGTCACGGTTCGATCCCTGGTCAGGGCACAGGCACGGGTTGCTGGCTCCATCCCCAGTCCCTGGGCCCGATCCCCAGTGTGGGGTGTGCAGAAGGCAGCCGATCAGATATATATATTTTTTGAAAAGTATACTCGACTTAGAAATAGCCGTATTTCCAAATTACACAGTGAGAACCTTGGAGTTTTAGTAAAAACACAAAATGCTTCGTAATAGCCCATGTCCTGTGATCTGAAGAACGATTACGATTCTCTGACCTCTACCGACCCCAGCGAGTGAGCAGCATGTTCTGGGCTCCCCATTGGTGGTGACCCCGCCCAGACCCTGAGCCGTGATAAGGAGGGCAGGTTAGAGCCCTGCCCCCGCTCCTGCCCGGCTCGCAGGCCTGCCTCCCGACCTGCTCCCCCTCACTTGGCCTCTGCCCCCTGGGGCCCCTCTTGGTTTCCTTGTCTTTGATTTCAGAGAGGAAGGGGGCGGAGAGAGAGACATCAGGGATGAGAGAGGGTCACTGATCAGCTGCCTCCTGCACACCCCCCGCTGGGGATGGAGCCTGCAACCCGGGCCTGTGCCCTGACTGGGACTCGAACCCTGACCTCCTGGTTCATAGGTCAATGCTCAACCACTGAACCACATTGGCTGGGCCTAGATCTCATTTTGTTTCCTCGACATTGAGCCGAATCTTCTCGCTGTTTCAGGGGTGAACTGCCTTTCTCAGTCACTCAGTGCCAACCCGCTGACCGCCACCACCCTCACGCACCTGGACCTCTCAGGGAACGCCCTTCGCGGAGACGACCTCTCGGTGGGTGCCGCCGTGGCCATCGCTGTGCCCGTGAGCCCGGGGAGTGTCTGACGGGCTTTCTAGCCCGTGGCCCCCGTCTCCTTGAGCGGGGCGCCCTCGCCTCGTTTCATCCTGAGCTCGGGAAGCATTTATAGGAAGTTTCAGAGCCTTCCTTAATTAAAGTCACGCAGGGGTGAGGGGAGGCGTTAGGCCTTGCGACCCCCCGAGACCCGACGCGTCTTAGCTGCACAGGAGCTTAAGAACAAGAATGTTAGTAGGACTATCAAGGGCTCTTGTTGGATTGGGCGGTCACCAGGGATGGGAAGGTCATTGCGTTGGACAGAGAGAGAGGGGAGCCCGAGGGTCACATTCGCGGTCCTGACCCATTCCCTGTTCACGAGCGACGGCCACCAGGCGGCTCTTCGTCTCCCGAGAAAGGTCGTCCACGCTCCGGAATGATGAACACGGAGCCAACCAGGCAGCTGGGTCACGTGCAGCAACGGGAGCTGTAGCCGAGGTTCCATCCGGCCTTGTTTTTGCTGACGCATAATTTTAACTATTTGGATTTTTATTTATTTACTTATTTTTCTCCCAAGGAAGATAATATAATGCCATAAAATTCTGCTAATTCTTGGGAAAACTGGAGGAGGATTCTGGGAGATTTGGGCAAACTGATGTTGAGTATTAACTTGCAGAGTGTGTGTGTGTGTGTTTCTAGATCCTAACGTGTTTGCTGCTTGTTTTTGATTTCAAGCCCATGTACAGTTTTCTGGCCCAGCCCAACGCCCTTACCCACCTGGATTTATCCGGCACCGAATGCGCCCTGGACATGGTAATGGCTTTCATTGCTGGGGGAGGTTTGAGGGCTTTCTCACTGATGCGCCCCTCGGCCCCGGCCCCTGAGACACCTGCCCTCGTCCCGCAGGTCTGCGCGGCTCTGCTCCGAGGCTGCCTGCAGTACCTGGCCGTGCTCAACCTCTCCCGGACCGTCTTCTCTCACCGGTAGGACCGCGTGCTGCGGGCGCTGTCTTTCAGGGAAACGTTGTGTTGTGGCTACGGAGTGGTAACGGGCGGATGTTTCTCGGGAAGGAAGGAGGCCTGAAGTCACTTTTCTCTGAGAGCACCAGGCCCGGAGGGGTCAGGTGTCGGGTCTCTCCCCCGAGTGGGATGCTCTTGTCCGTGAGCCCGGCCGCCGTGAACTGAGCGAGGATGGGCGTCTCACCTGGGACAGGCGCTCTAGCCCAGGGAGGGCTTCACCCGCGGCTCAGCTTCTCTGACGACCTTCCTTTAACTTAATTAGCTTACGGACATTTTGTTTCTTTTTTAAAAATAGGTTCTTTATTGATTTCAGAAAGGAAGGGAGAGGGAGAGGGAGAGAAATACCAGTGGTGAGAGAGGATCTTGGATCGGCCGCCTCCTGCACGCCCCACACTGGGATCCAGCCTGCAACCTGGGCCTATGCCCTGAATAGGGAATCGAACCTTGACCTCTTGGTTCATAGGTCAATTCAACCACTGAGCCACACTGGCTGGGTCATTTTTTTCTTCTTTATTTTATCTTTAAATTTCTACTGAGAAGATCGCTGATTTGTGGGTTATTTCAGAGTCTGTGAACACGCGTTTGGCCTTTTGGGAGTCGGGTGCTGACTTGGCCGGGGTGACCCCAGGTGACCCGTGTCTGTCTTTCAGGAAAGGGAAGGAGGTGCCGCCCTCCTTCAGGCAGTTTTTCAGCAGTTCCCTGGCGCTGACGCACATCAACCTCTCGGGCACCAAGCTGGCGCCCGAGCCCTTAAAGTGAGTGGTTCGCGCGTTTTCTCCGCAGCTTTTCCAGCCCCGCTGGTGGGTGTCAGCGTGCTGGGGAGGGGCAGACGCAGAACCCTAAGGCCCACGAGGCCCGACGGGTGTCTTTTCACTTCGGGGCACAGAAGGAAATGATTCATTTTTTAAAAATACATCTTGATTTCAGAGAGGAAGGGAGAGGGAGAGAGAGAGAGAAAGAAACATCAATGAGGAGAGAGAATCATGGATGGGCTGCCTCCTGCACCAACGGGAGCTGTAGCCGAGGTTCCATCCGGCCTTGTTTTTGCTGACGCATAATTTTAACTATTTGGATTTTTATTTATTTACTTATTTTTCTCCCAAGGAAGATAATATAATGACATATGAAATTCTGCTAATTCTCTTGGGAAAACTGGAGGAGGATTCTGGGAGATTTGGGCAAATTGATGTTGAGTATTAACTTGCAGAGAGTGTGTGTGTGTGTGTGTGTTTCTAGATCCTAACGTGTTTGCTGCTTGTTTTTGATTTCAAGCCCATGTACAGTTTTCTGGCCCAGCCCAACGCCCTTACCCACCTGGATTTATCCGGCACCGAGTGCGCCCTGGACATGGTAATGGCTTTCATTGCTGGGGGAGGTTTGAGGGCTTTCTCACTGATGCGCCCCTCGGCCCCGGCCCCTGAGACACCTGCCCTCGTCCCGCAGGTCTGCGCGGCTCTGCTCCGAGGCTGCCTGCAGTACCTGGCCGTGCTCAACCTCTCCCGGACCGTCTTCTCTCACCGGTAGGACCGCGTGCTGCGGGCGCTGTCTTTCAGGGAAACGTTGTGTTGTGGCTACGGAGTGGTAACGGGCGGATGTTTCTCGGGAAGGAAGGAGGCCTGAAGTCACTTTTCTCTGAGAGCACCAGGCCCGGAGGGGTCAGGTGTCGGGTCTCTCCCCCGAGTGGGATGCTCTTGTCCGTGAGCCCGGCCGCCGTGAACTGAGCGAGGATGGGCGTCTCACCTGGGACAGGCGCTCTAGCCCAGGGAGGGCTTCACCCGCGGCTCAGCTTCTCTGACGACCTTCCTTTAACTTAATTAGCTTACGGACATTTTGTTTCTTTTTAAACAATAGTTTCTTTATTGATTTCAGAAAGGAAGGTAGAGGGAGAGGGAGAGAAATACCAGTGGTGAGAGAGGATCTTGGATTGGCCGCCTCCTGCATGCCCCACACTGGGGATCCAGCCTGCAACCCGGGCCTGTGCCCTGAATAGGGAATCAAACCTTGACCTCTTGGTTCATAGGTCAATTCAACCACTGAGCCACACTGGC